GTTCGATCCATATTATCAGCAACGTCGCGTAGTCAAATTTAACTAAAAACAAAACAGCGGTGAAAAGATTGTTTCTCAAAAGGGCCGTCAACACAAGAGCCAAGTCCATAGACTAATAAGATTCAAGGAAGGAAGTAAGATCCCGGATTATGTACTGTGATGATCAATGCTGCACCGCCACACGGAGAAAGTGGTTGCCTAGCGACGCTTAGGTAGTTCCACTCACACTATCCAGCAAAACTCTTGATTTAAACATAAATACGTATATGCATGTAGTAATATTACAAACTGGGCTTAGCAGCTATTCCCCAAGTGTCAAGGATAGTCCTACTCTAGCATAGCTACGGGCCAGAGGGACCAACATGCGCCTTATAATATGGGTCTAATTGAGTCCCTCTAGTTTGTACGAAGGCTATTGGAGCACTATAGGTCACGATGACTCTCAGCCATCTGCAGGAGGACTCAACAACTTCAAGAATGAGTAAAATAGGACTCTCTCACCATAATCACCCCTTTGATTTGTAAATGTTTGGCTCCCCTATTTCCCCTTTATCAACAGACATTCATAACGCTCATGAACTTTCAAGCGGCATGCCAATACCGTTTAAAAAAGAAGGACCTATAATATCACAAAGATAAAAAAAAGAATTTTACAAGGGGCAGCTATAGGAGAATTACACGCTCCAAATTGTTCTACTAAATACTTAATGAATGAATAGATTACGAGAATATTATCAAGGTAGTGTTGGAGCAATTGCTGAAGGCGAGGTATTTCATACTTATAGCGAGTTATGTAAAGAAAGTCCCCAATATACCAATCATATCCCCTCCATTATGCAAAATGTATAGGAACATCATGACTTAGCTGTTCCGGATACATTCTCACTGGCTCAAGACAGTGGCCCCTTTCCCTAAATCTCTTTACACATCGGTGTCTAGAATGGGATGAAGTATAGCAATTCCCAGCACCCCCCGGGCATAGCAGAAAGGAGTTAATCAGTGACCCGCCATGACCCATGAGCTGTACCTCTGCATACTGAGACGGCTCGGGTAGCCGCCTCTATAGGCATAGCCAAAGCCACGGGGCAGTTCTCGGGAAGAGAGGCAAAGCCCCTCTTAAGAAAAGAAAGGGGAGCAAAGGGGAGCAATTTTTCCTAAGGAATATCTGTGAATTTTATTTGCTAAAAAGTAAGAAAAGCTTTGGCGGGCTTTGCGTGCGATTTTGTAGGATAGCATAAGCCACACACGGCGTGTGGATTGGGTAGTGGCTGGCCACCCGTACTATCACAATACCTCAGGTAAACTTCTGTTGCAGATATCGCGGAATACTTATAGAACTATTCCTCCCCCAGTAATACTATTGGGGCTGCTCTACAGGTACTAATAGCGGAATCAAGTGAAAACACACTCCCATAACGTATAGGCAATGTGCGAAATAGTAGCATAGGCATTGCCAGTCCAAATGAAACAGTTCGAACTTAGGGCGACCATCATTTTATACATGTACGGCTCGAAGAAAGTACCGAACTCAGGGCTACAGCCATGGTGCGGAAAGAGCACTGTCGGTAGATGCCCAACAGGGAAAAATGACACGAATAAAAGTTCGACACCCGTTGGTGTCTTTAGCGCGGGGGCCAATAGAGCAAATGAAGTCTCTAGGCAGACTATAAACGTTGGTGGCTGAATCGTCAGCCAGATCCGACACAGGCAAATCAAATATGACGTGCGCAACGCCTTGCAGTGCAACATCAAAAGCCCTAATAACGGTTTAATCGGGATGACCACTAAGAAGAGGTCGCAACGGGAGCCTCATTATCAACCATAGGGTTTAAATGTATTACAAGGGCTCACGAGTGGGAAACTCACTATACTGGTGACACGATTTGACAAGGGTCACTACAACCATGATGTTAAATTACCTCCCTGAGGTAAATGAGAGAATCGGCTTTCAAACGGGGTACTACTCTAGAGTATATTTCGAGTCAGCTATAGAGAAAAGAAAAAGGCTACCTAAACGGCTACAGAACCTTAAATGGCAGTTCCAACTTATACCCTTGAAGACCCCTCTCTTTTCGTTTAAGTAGTTTATAAGTACATAGAATAGGAGTGCCGTCTTCTGCCATACGTAGCCAGTATACTTAAAGTTCAAAAAGACTACATACATAGTACAGCTTAAATCAAGACACGTAAAGGGGGTTTGTGAGACTCGGAAAGTCGTTACAAGTGGGATCTACGCGACAGTGACATGGGGGCGTTGTTTTCAAATAGATAGAGATATTGCTACCTCTGTACGATTTCTCAAACAACCTGAGGATGTATAGCGGCGTAGCTGTGCAACGAGAGAAATACGATAGGATTATCGGGTGGAACCTACAGGATGGCTTTCAGGAGAGGTAATATCATGCGAGAATATGAGGTGAGTAATATATCGGACGTTGTGGAGAGTAGCCTGCTTTTCCAGCCATATCCGGGCTAAAAGGGGGCTGGAGGATGGGCACTGTAGATAACAAATATGGTGGGTATGTAGCATGCATAATCCTATGCTCATACCCTCCACATTGATTCACAACCAATAGCAAGAAACTCTCTCTCGCATAAGCCACAATGACCTGCATATAGTAACTTGGTAATGGTACCTCGCTCCAGTTTGCCTACACTGGAAAACCTACACTCTAGGTCACATAGCATGCGGATGCTTGGTGTGGGTAGTATCGAATATGAGAAATCTAGGCTTTCATATGAGAGCAAACTCATATGGTCTTGAGCCTCTGTGGCACAGCACTGCAACCTTCTTTTGGAGCAAATTGACTGACACTTCGACTATTCCCTGTTTGGATTCTAGGTAATCTTCGACTTTATAGATTGCACTGCTTGTCTTTTGATGTAGAATGTTTTCTGTCATCATTTCCAAGTCAACTATCAAGCCAAATCGAATCACAATTAGCCTGATTGTGATTTTGATACGGAAGCTATCGTAACTCCTACATACACGTATCTTAATCAACGTTAGATAGATGGATGACATACACCCGGAAGAAAACAATAGTGGGCGACTAATCGCAGCTACCACAACTATTTTGATAATAGCTACTCTCCTCTTTGCTTTGCGATTATTCGCACGAAGCCTAACGCCAGCGAAGAGAGGCTGGGATGACTATGTCCTAAGTATCTCTTACGTACTGTTGATAGGATTACTCATTACCCTCTACGGTATGCTTCATGTCTCATACAGATTTGCATGCAAAGCGTTGTAATACTGACAAGTTTCATCCTTAAATCAGTGGGTGTTACTCAAGCCGACATAGGACACCATCTCTCCGCCGTTGAGCCCGATAAGCAATCTAGGTTTCTCTTCATACTATACTTTCAAAACTGGTTCTACTTGCCATCCAGCCTTCTGTCGCGCATCTCGGTTGTTCTCTTATACCTACGTGTTTTCACCAACAAGTGGGCGCGGGCGGCCGTGAGTTCATCTCGGGGTTATTTTCTTCCTGTTTAGGCGATTTCTAGAGTTGAGACTTTCCTTTTCAGTGAAGACTGTGTCTGGAAACTTCTAAGACCCTCGTATACAATGCCCAAAATGGCGATAACTGACTCCGAGTCCTCTAGTGCTGGGCAGTCATAGCTTTTCTCGTCGCCAATTGTGTTGCCATGATCATCACAGCTCAACTCCAGTGCATACCGTTTGTGTACACGTTCGAGAAGGGTATAGATGGTGAATGCTTTGATCAGTGGCGTTGGTACGAGGTCTCTAACTTTCCTAACATCTTCGGCGACGTTTTGGTTTTAGTTCTACCAATCAGGACGGTTTGGACGATAAAGGCTTCCGCTGCACGTAAGGCAGGTATTGCAGCTGTTTTTCTCACAGGCAGCATGTAAGTATATAGTCCACCAGATATCGCCCATCCAAGGAACGTAATTACTTACCAATCTCACAACTAGAGGCATCATAGCTTCATCCGTACGCGCTAGTGTATTTTACCATAGCGCCGACGTGATTATAAATGACTCCACATGTAAGACAGGGTTCCTATGACTAACTCGCGACCTAGAACTGACTGTGTATAGTCGCCGAGGCACCCTTTTCGTGGACAGCTATCGAATGCGGCTTTTACTTTTCAGCAGCCTGCCTAGTAGCGCTGCGACCGTTGTTCACATACCTTCCGCGTGTAATCAAAGACCGTGTACTTCATCTCACCGAGGAGGCCGAGGGCATCAAAGAACAAGGCGTGGAAGAGCTGCGTCCAACTAGATGCTACGATGATCCCTATGTCACGATCGATAGCAGTGAGGGAATAACCAAGGTATCCTATGCATCTACGGCGTCAACCGCTCGGGGTAGTCCTGAGCATCATAACGCTATCCCGGGCAGAAATGAGATCCACGTCGAAACTGACATACACATTACGCGAGAATAGCACGCACGAAGAGAGCTCAATTAATCAATACTCCGTAAAACCTACATTCCTTCGATGTCGCCGGCGTTGTTTTCATGGTGAATGCCAACACAAAGTTTCGGGATATACGTCAAAGCAAATAACTAAACTATAAGATCTCTCTCTACATGGAATTACTATGGAACTTCATAAATGTATTAATAATGAAATTTTAAATCTCACTCACATAGGCCAGTTATTTTCATAGTGGATCTTATTCTGATATAATGAGACTATAAGCAGGATTTATTCAAATGCCAACAGAAAGATACGCGCGATGTCTCTCTCATAAGTTACCTAGTAGATCAAGAACCCTGGGGCCTGACTTCCCTAGATGGTGCAGTCGGCTATCTGGGGAGATCTGGCAAGATCGATGATCCTTTCCTAATGTAGTAAAATTCTATTAGGGGACCAGCTCGGGAACCACAAAAAAGGAACTTCCACCCATCCTAACTCCGAATCGGGGAATCGAACCCCGGGCTTGACGGCACTGTCTACGTTTTGGGGACGAAGATGAGAGCGTCAAATGTTAGCCACTACACCAATTCGGATCATAAATCGGGTTGCCCACTAGCGGAATCGAACCGCTGATCTTGTCATGGCATCTAGCTAGAACGCGAATTACTTCGAGGTACTAGTGACACGCTATACCACTTAGCCAAGCGGGCTGTTCTCTCTGAGATGTGTTTGACCGAGTCATTAAACGATCTAATATGTCACGGGCTGGGAAGTCTTCGAGGCCAGGTGCAATAGTTATAGTAGTAGGTAAATAGATCACGAAGATGTATCATGAGGATAAGGCTTGATGCTTGACATGCTTCGGTATTCGCTGCTACGACTCTACCTCCTTTATACAATTACATCTCTGGCAGGCCCCCAAAAAATATTGACGCCGATTCCCCAAATTCATCGTCATTCATATGCCCTATAATGTAGGCCCCAGCGTCAAAGCCGAGGGTGGGATGACCGCTTAGTGTTTATGTTCAATCTCTGCTCTCGAGCTTGCGTAAAAGTAGGACTATTGCGAGGGGAGTCGAAATTTGTGCTGTATATCCCCTAGGACCCAACGGATGATAATATTTAGTTTATAGGAGCGTAACATGCTGCCGTTCGAGTCGAAGAGGGTCCGGAGCGAGCCTGTTGATCTCTAAGGCATACACATCGCCTTCTTCCCTTGGGAAGGCAGCCACAAGGTTTTCGCCAATGAGACATCCATCGACATACCCTACTCTCTTATAGCTCCGTGTCTTTTCTTGCCACACAGCTAGTATCCCGAAGCGATGTTCAAGGAATTCGAAGTCCTCGAAGATGAATGGCAACCGCGTTAGAAAAATAAGGTGTAGGTTGCTCGTATCGATGCCACTCTCTTCTTCCTTTACATCGAATGAGCCGTCGATCCAAAACTCCCGGGACGAGCCATTTCGGCTCTGCGCTTGGAAACAGAAGCTCCTGTCTGCGACAATCGATCTCTCGGGCGGGCTTCCTAGGCACGCTCCGCTTTCCGGCGGCGTCTCGGCTCGTGGCTTATTCCCACGGATAGGTAAGATGGGTGCGGATAGCGTCAGCTGTGGAATAGCGGTATCATCGTTATTCAAAGCATGATTATGACCAATATATTCGGCTAGAGGCTCGAAGGTGCTTTCCATTTTCCAGCGTGCGCGCTTGTCAAACCACGAGTAGATAGGGAACTGTACTGGGCCCTTCACGGACGCCCATGTCCACGACGGGCCCGTGAAGCCATGTGGACGAGCAAGCGGTTTATTGCTCAATGCCGTGCACCAAACTAAACCCTCTAGGAGGCCCTTTAGCCAGATACCAGCCAGATAACTATCCTCGGCCTTCGACTCGAGGGCCACGCGCAAGCCGAGTAGCGCAGGGAGGCGGTCGGAGTCCCGAGTAATGTCCCGGCTAGTGTAATCTTCGATCATGGCGTACCACTCCATGTGTCTATGCTCAGGAGTCTCCGTAGCCCCATCTACATCGCGTTTCCTCGCATTGAAAACTGTGGTGCTCAGGGCCGCCGACCGCCTCAGCCGCCCCAACTGGTCCTCAACTACCGATTCGAAATCGCCGTCCTCGGCAGCGCGGAGATCGCCGCATTCCCAGATCATCTGCCCCGTACCGTAATGCAGGATCCTACGCGCAAGGTAGCGCTCTTGCAGACACCATGCCCGGCGGCTTAGCGGCTCCGTGGCGACGGCATGGGCATTGAGGTATGACGTCTCTCCCGACGGGCTCGACGGCAGAAGCGTTAGGGTAAGAGGACTGTCGGTGCCTCGAGTACTGAACGCAACGTTGTCTGAGCTCGGTCGAGCGCTTAGGAAGCCCTCCTCGTCCGAACTGGCCCGGGTTGCGGAAAGGACAAGATGAGCATTGCGGTACACCCAGGCCATACGCCCGGCCTCGTTGCGCCAGTCTTCGGGATCATCTTGGACGATGCATAAGCTGTCAATCCAAAGATAGCGCAGCCCGAGAGCGCGGACGATTGTTACGGCGTCTTGAAAGGTATCAGGGAGCGCCTCGGTGGGAATGCCTTGCTTGTGACTCTCCAGTGTATCCGATGTGAGACACAGCGGCCGCGACGTTCCCCAACAATGGCTTAGAGCAACATAGCGGTGGTCTAGCCCGTCGCTGTTTTCTCGCAAGAAGAGTGTATCGTTGTTGCATCCATCATTAACGTCAAGAAACCTTGTCGGCAAGGTTGTCGCCCCGGGTTCAGGACGGCAAGACTCATGGTTCAACACGCAATTCTCTAGCCAGTCTTTCGCGGTGCTGACACTAGATGCTGACATTGGGTCTTTGCAAACAGTGACGCCAAGTCCGAAGCTAGCAAGTTCATCCGAGCTCTGCTCGTCGTCGGCATGAGTGATTCTCAGCTCTGCCACCAACTGATCATGGACGTCAAAAGATGCCTGAGGTCCAGCGTCGGTACAGATTACCGCCAGGACGTAGTTCCACTTCTCGCCGTCGCTGCAAAAACGCTCTCTTCGAATGAATTCGAATGAAGTCTTCCCTTCGAGGTAAACGCCCATGTCCTGAATGTCATCATGGAGGTCTGAAGGGGGGTCCGTTGGATCGAACATGTTGTCGGCGCTGGCCTCTCGGACGACTTTAAGACGCCACTTACCCCAACCTTGACGAACTAGAGCACACAATTGGCAGGCCGAGGCCGATGCGAAGACATTGCGCCCAAGCGCATGCCATCTCCCTACCACGCTGTGGCCATCGTCGTACTCGTCACTCGTGGAGCTGGAGGGGTTCTGGGCATGTCGTAAGGCCGCGACTAGGTCGAGCCCTTTACACTTTGAACAGAGACTCATTTGAACGTTATAAGTAATGTCGGGTTATTAGTAGTGAAAGATGTGAAGGAGTGATGCATTTGAGGTTTTAATCTCAACATCTAGTAAGAAAACTAGCCACGTTTTGCTATTGCCTACATCACGCTTCACCTAACTACATTAGCTAACAATATGTAAGGTTAGTAAGATTGTTATTCTAAATCCATCTCCTTTCCTCTCTTGAATGTCATTGGGCTTGATGATTCCAATGCAGCTTAGCTAGTTTAGCTTATGGGCGAAATGATCACCTACATTGATTGCACTACTTTCCTTCATAGGGTATTAGTCAACTCTAGATTGCCTACTCCTGGCTGCCTCAAATTCGCTAGACAGGCTCGTCATATGTGCGATACACTGGGTCTAATCGCCTTCTCCCTTGATAGGCTAAGGAGAGTGAATAGTTCACTCATATCGTCGAATGCCGGCGAGTACGCCTTGTGTATTTTTAGAGACTATGACTTAATTGTTCAAATATATTGTAGCTTAGCAGGGGTATATCAAGGTTTAGTGTCCGCGACCTGCTGTAGCTTAGTTCCAGGCTCTTGGCGCAGCATCGCACAGTCGCGATGGACTCCCATCCTGACAGCTGAAAAAAGAAGACTGAAACGCGAGTCACAACGGTATAAAATAAAGCGATGCGTTAATTCAACAAGGAAAACTATATTCAAATGCAGCGTTTTGAAATATGCCATCGTTCTACTTATGCCACTGTAATATCAGATGTACGATTTGACTTGTACTTCAGACCTTCTAGAGAGTCCAATCCCGCAACAGGATCCTTACGAGGTTGTTGAAATCTTCCCCATGGAATGACCGTACTTCAGCCAGTCTCTAAATTTGGGGGAGTTTTAGTAGACGATATTGACAGACTTACCATAGTCGCCGAATCGTTCAGCACCTCAAAAAGCTGTGGTTGGTCATTCGAGCTGTGAGATTGCTATAACTATGAGACAAGCGATAACCTATGCATATACGCGCAGACAACTTGACGTTAAAAAAACGGTAAAAGCAAAGCTTGATTAAGAAGTAAGGTAAGTAAGTAGTGGGTAAAAAATGGAAGGCCTGTGGTGTTAGCTTAGTAACGCAAATTGATCATGAGATAGATAGTGGGCCCTATGGGCGACCGCAACTACATGTTGCATGCGGGATAGCAAGATCTAACTAATATTCTCTACTATGGAGATGGGGAGTTCGAAGACACACCACACCTAGACTCAACTATCCCGTCCCTTCATCAGAACCCAGCTCTTACATGACAGTCAGGCTCATCGACGAAGACGACGTGCTGGAAGCCTAGCAAAGCAGCGTAAGGCGTGTAGGTCAGCGGCACGCTATTTCTCTCTGCAAACGATAGCTTCGAATTCTTCCGCAAGACTCAATCGTCACATAGCCTCGCCTAGATGAACATGCGTTTTTATAGGGCGGTCGCATAATTCGGTGAACACGAGTGACGGATATGCTGTCCTGTCGTCTTACCGCGTTAAGGCGTGCCTCGGTGGCTCTAAAGCATTGTTCGCAAGTTCGCTCGGGTAGCTTGAGCGCGCCAGGTAGCGCTATAGTCTGATTAGCAAAATCATCCGCTCTTAACCATACTATGCATAAGATAGAAAACATTGGGTTATGATATCTAATGAGAGCCTAATACTGAACGGCAGCAAATTATTGTTGATAAAGTTGTCGCCCAAAGATGGACGAGGGTGCACAATCGCCGAAAGGAGAGATGGTCAGAGCCTCCTCAGTTACCAAAATAGTGCTTAGCCCGCACCAATACACAACGCCAGCTTAGGAAACCAGCAGCGGAAAACGGACAATTCTACCTACATCATCGACTACAACCCGTGTTCATTATGGCGTGTTCGGGTCGACAACTCCAGACGTCCTGCCCTTTCCTTGGATTAACGCTTCGGCGCATGTTCGAGCATCTTGAGCTTTGTTACGATAAGATCCTCTCTGTTTTTAATCCTTGATTTATCAAGATAACAAAAGTCCCTGCAGGGTAGCCGATTCAGCTTTAAAGGCGACGGCTTGATTGGGTAGGCCTGCAGATCTCGTGACCGGCGCAGCCTCTTCTTTCAACCGGATTGATGAGGGGTAGCTCTTCTGCCTCACTCTTCCTATCTAGTCGATGCGATCAGACGGTTGGCTCAATCGGGCGCCACGCTTACCGTTTTCTCCCACTCTTCCAGCCCCCCTCTCCACTGAAAGGCATACTATGTATACTACTGGCCGTCCTGCCGCGCTATATCTCTAACGTCGGATGGCCGAAGTATTCGGCGTGGCTGCGAGCGCTCTCGCAGTCGCCGAGCTCTCGGTGAAGGTAATCTCACTAT